CGGTAGGTAGGTAGGTAGGTAGGTAGGTAGGTAGGTAGGTAGGTAGGTAGGTAGGTAGGGGGGTAGGTAGGTTAGTTAGGTAGGTAGGTCGGTAGGTGGGTAGGTAGGTAGGTAGGTAGGCAGGGAGGTAGGGAGGTAGGTAGGTAGGTAGGTAGGTAGGTAGGTAGGTAGGTAGGCAGGTTGAGTAGGTGGGTAGATAGCCAGGTAGGTAGGCACGCAGGCAGGCAGGTAGGTAGGTAGGCAGGTAGGTAGGTATGTACGTAGGTAGGCCGGTAGATAGGTCGATGGGTAGGTCGGTAGATTTGGGTGAGTAGATGCTTCCCTGTGCATGTTAGAGTTTTGGTTTGATTCAACTCCCTTCAGGTTGTCTGCAAGTGTTTGGGTACTTGATGCTTTGACTGTTTCTTTGCACTCATCTGTTTCAGCACGGCCGACTTCGCATCCTGACTTGCGTGCATCCGCACGGATGAATACATGCACTTACAGTCTTAACCGCAAGCCCTATATCCCACCCAAACCCTAGTCACGACAAGCCGGAAACCAGACTCTACCACAAATCGGCTTATGGTTCAGGGTTTAGGGCCTCTTTCTGGCGGCGCTCTTCTGCAGCTCTTTGCGCCCGGAGATGTCTCTGCCGCTCCTGAAGTTTGAGAGGTACGCCGCGCCTTTGCCCTACCACGATGCCGTTCAGTAAATGTATGAGCATTGGGGTTTCGGGTTTAGCGTTTAGGGTACGATAACCGGCAGTTCGCCCATACCTGCTGATAAGAGTTTCCGACCTCGGGAGTAAGCTTTGGCTTAGGGTTGGGAGCTTGGACTGTTTGGCTGGTCAGACTTATCAATGGATTAGGGCCTGCTGGCATCGGGCAACCTGCATCGAGAGGGAATTTGCTTCCGAGTCCTCTTGCTGGCGCTGCTGCTCTTCCTGACGCTGGCGCTGCTCTTCCTCCTGGCCGCTGGGGAGTGGGGTCGTGTGCTGGACAAGTGAAGGGGCCCGACACCGACAAACCAAGTCTGCGACTCTGACATGCCAAGACCGACAGCCCGAACCCTCAAAATCCTGAAGCCACCCAGCAATGCCCAAAGATAGCCAAAAGGGTTTTGGGTTCAGGGTTCAGGGTGGGTTCAGGGTTTTTTGGGGGTCTGGGTTTGAGGCTTTGGGTTTTGGGGTTTAGGGTCTTGGGTTCCGGGTTGAGGGTAATTCCGTATGCGGGCAGTGCCTGCTGGCTTCTCGTGGCTCGGATCTCCGCCTCCCTCCTCTGCTGGAGTTCGGCAAGCTCCCGTTGACGAGCCTGAACAGTCTAACCTACCTTGAACTACCATAACCTACTTTTTTGTAGGTCCCTATTATAAAACCGAATATAGAATTTGCAGGGACCCTACAAAAAAGGTAGGTTTTGGTAGTTTAAGGTTAACAATCTAGGAGGGCCTAGCGGGTTTCTTCAAGGATCAATGAAGGGCTTCAGGGGTGCAGGGTGTACTGTAAGGGCCGAGGGGGTTCGCTTAAGGTTCCTGTCGGGGTTCTGTCAGGGCTCTCTATTTCGTGTCTTCATGCTTAAGTGGTCTAGTACGGGTTTTCCGGAAGGAATAAGGCTTTAGGGCTTAAGGGCTTTAGGGTTCAGGGTTTGGGCGTTTAGGGTTTAAGCTTTGAGTTGGGCCTCAGGGTTTAGTGTTAGTACGGTTCAGCAAAAAGTCTCAAAGGATGGAACGGGCTCTCAGTTTGGGGGCTTACGCGCTGAAGTAACCGAGGAACACAGGCGGTCTAGGGTTCAGGGCCCTAAGCCCTTTTTGCATCAGGACTTGTGCAATCGCCTGAACACTGACTTCCACAATGCAAAGAATTAGTAAAACCGTACAATCACAAAGCGCCCTTGCTTGTTCACTCGAAGTACATGTCAGATGACATTAGGGCCCTAAACCCTAAATCCTAAACCCTAACCCTAAACCCTAAACCCTAAACCCTAAACCCTAAACCCTAAACCGTACCCTTTTGAAAAAACCGCAAACTTGAAACCACCTCTAAGCTATCGGTTCGGATTTCGGCCCCACGTCTGCTTCAACACCCATCGCTCAAACCCATAGACCGGCTCCGCGCTGGATATCTGAAAGATGTCGATGCAGCTCTTAGGGTTTAGGGTTTAGGGTTTAGGGTTTAGGGTTATTTCTTCCATCATGGTGATTTCGCTCTTCTCTCCTGGGCTTGACAGCAACATGCCAAACCTCCTTACTTCGCGACAACCTACGTAATGCTTCTCCTGAGTATCTGACATCTTGAAGCAGCTGCAACCCCAGAAACATCTTAACAACACCGAACCCTCAAAACCGAAACTACACAGCTTCAAAACCATGAGCGCCCCTTAATAAAGATTTACCCAAGTCGAACAAAAGTAGAAAGGTCAAAAGGAACCTAAGCATGGGAACCCTCAGAAGAAGCCTAAACGCTAACAGAAACCCCTCCGAAAGTGTCAAGAGTCCATCTCCGCACATCAAGATCCCCTTTATGAAACCCTTATAGGAGCTCTATTCTCTTGGAAAACGCCACTATAAGGGTCTGAAGGTTCAGGGTTTAGAGTTATTAGCACTGAATCATGTCATTCCTTAGGGTGCCGTTTTCAACTTCCCGCTATGATATACCTATGGTCTCCATTGTAATTCCTTTTTGGGGATACATGATACAATCCTTGACATATAACTGGTTAAACCAAAAAAAGGAACTACAATGGAGACTATAGGTACCCCCAAACTCTGTTCTAATTGCTGAGGCCCCTTTGTTCGGCCCCCCAGGCTGCAAGGCCTTGACGATCGATGCATCCTCGCGGTCAGCCCGGGAAACACCTGAGCTTAGGGATTTGAGCTGTGCGGGTTTAGGGTTAAGGGGTCTTGGAACTCAACATCAAAGCTGAACCAGGTAGGGCTTTAGGGTTTGGGGCTGAGGGGTTGGATGCGGGATTGAGGGTTTCGGATTTGTCGGGTTTCGACTCTCATAATTTGGCGATGTGCGCGGCGGTCGGCAGGCGCCAGCTGGAGGGGGCAGAAACATGCTGAGACCGCATATCCTAGGACTTCGGGATTCCGGCTTAGCAAGATTAATGTGGGAATCTGCTCCACCGCCTGCTTTTATACCGACTGTTACTCTGATACCACCACCCAACTGTATTATGTTTCTAGTAATCTTATTGATATTTACGCTCTCGCGGCTGCTTTTTGCTGTTCAAGACTAGGACCTTGCGAAATCTTGTAGCCGCCCCCAGAGCCTAAGCCTAGCCGCGGTGGTACAGGAATCTCGGCACCTGCAACCTCTTTGAACGTCTCGGTAGAGCACCGCACTGTTGTTTGGCTCGGTGATTTCGGTACAGATAGCATTAAGGCACGATGGCATGAATAAATATGATCGAACTAATTGCTGACAACACACCAGTAGCCATGTCGTTGCATAGCATAGCAGAGCATTCTTTTTGTAACAACTCTAATACCTAAACCCTAAACCCTAAACCCTAAACCCTAAACCCTAAACCCTAAACCCTAAACCCTAAACTTAAGCAAGACTCGCACAGGCCGACAGATCCGAGGCGCAGCTCAAGTCGCGAGCAGTGTCGCACATCTCGCACACAGAGAGGGATACATCGTTGTCCCAGTCGCAGTCAAAGCAAGTCCATGTCCCCGCCACCGCCATGATTCCATGAGATTCGGAGGCTTGGCGAACCCTATGATTCCTGATTAAGGTCTAGGGTCTGGGGTTTGGGTCTAGGGTCTTAGGGTGTTTTTTTGGTGTCTTGGTCCAGGGTTTTAGGGCTTAGGACTCCGACCTCTCTAACATCATTCTTGGGGCGAAGACACAGAAACACCGTGAAACTAGACTAATGTAAGGGCCTTAACAATGAGAATAGGGTTTTGGGGCCCATCTACTATACCTATAGTAAGGAGCCCCCCAAATAGTCTAGGTAATTATTTACCCTAAGCCCTAAACCCTAAACCCCCAATATTAGTGGCGAGCCTTACCCTGCTTGGCTTCGAGAGTTGACCTCATTAGGATTTAGGGTTTTTGACACTCACACCCGGACAAGCCTGGCAAGGTCTGTAGCGATGCTTTTAGGGGTTTAGGGTTTAGGGGTTTAGGGTAGGTCAGCGTCGCTTGACCAAGGGGGGGGGCTCGACATCTCACATGTCTCCTTTGGAGTTTAGGCGTTTGGGGTTTAAAATGGCTTAAGTAAGTCGACTAAAACCCTAAACCCTAAACCGAGCGCATGGAGCCCCGAGCATGGTCGTGAGCTGAAAAATGCTGCAGACAGGTGCTCTCAGGCCAGTTTAGGGTCAAGGGTTTATACGGGCTTGGGGTTTACGGTTTAATGTTTAGACTCTCACTCTCGCACAATGGTTTCACCTTTTTTCTTGTTATGCTACAGCTGCCCATTTGCCTGCGGGTCCTCCCGCTCCCTCGGTTTTGCGGAGGCGGCGGCGCTTGGAAACGGAGCCCAGTGCCTCAGCAGGAGTTGCAGATACTATAGATGCCTTATAATTAGAATAGGGTTTACGGTTTGGGGGTATAATATACTATAATTATAATAAGGAGCCCCCGAAAACCCATTCTAATTATTAAGGCCCCTGTATTAGACGGTCAAAGGAGAAGTACCTTCAGTCGAAAGGTGAACCAAGTGGTGCGACAGGCATCGCTGACAAAAGGCAGGGCGGCCATGCATACACCGAAGCGTGAGGTAGGTAGGTAGGTAGGTAGGTAGGTAGGTAGGTAGGTAGGTAGGTAGGTAGGTAGGTAGGTAGGTAGGTAGGTAGGCGGGCAGGCAGGCAGGGAGGTAGGCAGGTAGGTAGGCAGGCAGGGAGG